GGAGGTTTGTGCCCCGTTTTCAGCCTACCGGGGCCCTGTCCGGGCCCCCGGGGCCGTCAACAAGCATTTGGGGCTGAAAAGCTGGTCGTTGGGAAAGGGTCGGGACTTCTGGGGACCGCGTGCGGGAAAAATTTGGTCGTCGCATCATGTCCAGGACGGTACGCACCTATAACGCTACCCTTTCCTCGTTTTCTTTTTTCAGGCCTCCTGGGAGGCCCTCGTCGCCTGTTGGATTCGATTCGAAATTTCGGTCAGAACGCACCCGTGGCGAGGTCCGGGGAGTTGCGGTATTGGTACTGTTTGGTTTCCCCAGGGTCGCCAGCTGCTCGAGAAGAAACAGCTGCACAACCTCGTGACACTTCATGTGCCTCGCCTGAAGAGGAAAGGAAGGGCCACCCTGCTTCTGGACCCGGAGGGGGGGGTCCGCGGGCCAATGGCGCGTCCAAGATTCAGGAGGGGAAGAAACACACAGACACAATTAATCGTAGATCCCCAGGAAAATATAGGAAAATATGGGAAGTGGGGGGGAAGACAGAAACCCAGAAAATATGGGAAAATATGGGGGATCTTTTTATGTGTGTGTATTTATTTGTGTGTCCTGGGGCCTCTTCAAAGATGGCCTCGGCGAGAAGGCCAAAACCACTGATGCTACTGAGCTGGTGGCCACCACATGTTGGCCTCCTTGGGGGGGCGTGCTACCGTCGGACCGGGGTGTAAGCTCGAGGACGGCTCGGGGAGGGTACCCTAGAATTCTTCGTGCTTGTTGGATGTTCTTGTGCATCCTGCGGGAGGGGCACCTCGAGTGATCTGATTGTTCGGGGTGTTTCGGCTGGCGGAGGGTCTCATGTTCTTGGAGGATGTTTTTCTGTCCCTGGTTCGGCCTTCCCTTTCCCTCGTCCTCGCCTTTGTGGGACTCCTGGGAGGCCCTCGTCGCCACGTCTGGATTCGCTTCAAGTTCTGGTAAGAACGCATCCTCGGAGAGGTCTGAGGAGTAGTGGTATCGGTACTTTTTGGTTTCGCCAGCTGCCGAAGCCCAAGCAGCTGCATAACCTTTTCAGTATCGTTAAACCGACCCCCATCCCGATCCCATCCCCATCCAGACCCCCACAATTTAACCACCCCAGTTTGGGACATACCCCTCGAAACCCGAAGGCTACAGCCTGTATCCTTAACTAGGGGGGTAAATCGGCCAGTGGGTCCCAGGCAACGCCGTTGGGGACAGGGGTCAGATAAACGAGCTCAGATCCGCTACGATGCGGTGCAGGTCGCCATTTTACGAAGAGGGAGCAATTGCATTAATCTTCTAATTTGTTATGTACCTCGCTCGAAGAAGAAGAAGAAGAAGAAGGCGAAACTGCATAAGCCTAAGCTGTCGGAGCTCTGCGCCGATCCTCTACTCCGCGCGGAGCTCCGAAAGTGAATGCTTACGCGGGTCTGTTCGTCCTCGATTCGCACTGCACAGATCCAGACGAGCCAGGTTCTCGAGGCCACGGCCTCACCCACCTGGTCTGGCCTAGGCCCGCATGCTGTCCGCAGCGGTGGCCGCACCGCATCGCCACTGCAGAGTCATAGACTTCCGGCGCTCCGCGCGGATCTCCTGGGTCGGGAATCTCTTTGGTCGGCGACTGGGCTCCCCTGGCGGCGCCTCCGGCGCCGCGCCTGACGCGCTCCGCACGCAGGGGGGCGGGATCCAGCGCCGAGGAGGAAATCTGCGCTGACCTCCGATGCGATGCGATACGATGAGCCAGCTGAGCGACTCGACCAACTCGGGGCCGAGTGCGCCGATGCAGTCGGGGCCCTGAAGAAGGAGCCCTTTTCGTGGGGGAGGGGCTCCGTGTTCCTTAAGTGTTTCGCAGTTTGCCTGAGATTTTCCTTATGTTGTCGATCGGAAATCGAAGTTTAATTTATGGAAAAAAGGGGCCTCGTCCCTTATTTAGGGTTCCTTCGGTCAAGACCCTCACTGCATAGTGGCGCACGCCGTCCGCGTGAGCGCTCTCGTTTACCGTTTCCGATGTTGCGTTCCGCGCTAGCGGACCGAGTAAGCTGCGGTGGAAGGTCGCTGGGGCTTCTCGCGGAAGACCCGTTCATTGCCGTCGCACAGTTGGGCCCACGACTCCGGCCCGATGCGATGCGCCTCGGGTCACGGCTATCGGCCAGGGTTCGCCCGCAGGCGGGCGCGGGGATTCGATGCCGATTTGATTCGGGTCGACTCGCTGGCAGTCCGACCTGTTTGTTTCCCAGGCTTGCTAGCTGGGGTCGGCGTACACCTTAGGCGATGCTTAAGAAAACCTAAGTTTTCGTCCAGAGTCTCGATTATTCTTAACTTTTCAATGAAAATCCCAAGATTTTGATAGAAATGCCGGGTTTTATTCCATTTCTGAGACTATGAATTTCTTAACCCATGATTTCTTAAGCATTTCGCAGGGTGTAGATGGAGTCGGAGGATCGTGCCGCACCGCCGATGCATCGTCCATGCATCGGCGGTCCCGGCTCGAGGTTGGCCCCGATTTTCTCCACGCCGCCGTCGCCGATGCATCGCTGACGTCGCCGGTGCATCGCCGATGCATGCCCGATGCGTCGGCGATGCGTCGGCGATGCGGCGGGGTCCTCCGCCCCCATGTGCTCCGACACCATCTGGAAGGCCAGCGTATTGCCTGGCGGCCGCTCTGGGACGATCCAGGCACCCCCGGGAAGCTCTCGACGAGGCGCAGCGGCTGGGGAGCCTCCCGCGGCTGGAAAGCCGCCGAGCACCGACGACGACCGACAACCTCCGAAAACCTCGAACCCCGCACTCCTAGATCGCCTCCATGAATTAGCCCCGCCCCCCTCTGCTGCGGCCCCCTCCCGGGAGGCCTCCGAGCCGACCCGGCCTCCCGGCTCGCTCGGTCGGGCCCGCGAGGCCCGCGCGCACGAGCCGCTGCACCGCCGCTTCGGCGCGCTGTTCCCGGCGGTGGGCCTGGTCTCGGCGGCGGACTTCTCGGGCTGCGCCCGAGGCGGGGGGGCGACCCGGCGGCAACGGGCAGGAGCCTGGCATCTCGAGCTGGCAGCTACAGCCAGTCGGACCGAGGCAGAGAAGGCGGAGGTCGGCTCGGGGAGGGCACCCTGCTGTTCTGCGGGTGTGTTGGATGCTCTTGTGCCTCCTGGGGAGGGTGGTGGCCGTGGATGTTCTGTTTGCGTGGGTTCGGCGGAGGGTCTCATGTTCTCGAGGGATGTGCTTCGGTCGGCTTGCAGCAACGGGCAGGAGCCTCGTATCACGAGCTGACAGCTAGCGCACGCATGCCCATGCGACCCCTAGATCCCTTGGGGCAGAATTCTGTGGGGGGCTATGGGTGTGTATTGCTGGATGGGGGTTCCCGCTCGAACGGGAGCCCCCCCTCGGAATCCTACAACCCGCACCCCTCTGTATATAATTAGAACATTATATATCGCGCCTTCATCTGTTTGCCCTTCCCCATTTCCCCTCCCTATGGGTTTGAGGCTGTCATTTAATTTCATCACCTGTGGAGTCTTGGAGACAATGTTTGTATCTCCTGGCGATAACGGGCTTGACCAGGGGGGAGGAAGGGGGGAGGTTGCGTCGATGATCGTCGATTAGCGTCGATTCGCAAGAGCTCAGCAAAGTTGGCATGGGAGGCTCCCATGTTGCCTCAGAAGTGTGAGTCGGAGGAGAAACAGGTACCGATGCCGCTGCCCTTCCCCCAGAGAATCTGGCGTCACGTGCTTTTCGCAACGGGCGATTTTGCTGCGTTTCCCCTTGCCTTCATTCTTCCAGAACTTCCGTGCTGGCCTTCCACACTTTTGCGCCTCGTGCAACGCTGCGTTCCCTCAGGTTCTCAATCGTTCCACTGCATCACCTTCCGCGCCCGCGGACGTCGGAGGGTATGGAAGGTCGAGGTGAAGGGTCGGCTCGAACAAAAAATAACAGAGCGACTGGTGGGACCCAGTGGTCGGCCGATTTTTCTATGATGTTGCAATCTTGAGACGTCGGATCTCAGTGTCGAGGGTGTCCAAGACGGGGGTGAGGACATGGGGGAGGGTGTCATGGCCAAGGCTCGCGAGCTCTGCCAGAGTTTTTGGCCCCACAGCTCCTCAGCATGATAACTCGGGTGGTGGGGTTCTCCTCGAGCGCTCCTGAGCCCTACTTCCGGGGACATCGTAGAACGAGGCGGGGTCTCCCCCTCGCCGGTCCCCTTCCTCACCATCCTGCTCCTCACTGTGGGGAGGAGGAGGAGGAGGAGGAGGAGGAGGAGGAGGAGGAGGAGGAGGAGGAGGGGGAGGAGGAGGAGCGGGAGGAGGAGGAGGAGGGGGAGGAGGAGGGAGAGACAGAGACAGAGAGAGAGGGATAACGGAGGAGCGAAACGGAGTCGGAACGAGAACGGTTCCTTTTCGAAGCCTTTGAAGGCCGAAAGGCCGCCATACCCATCCAGTCTGGAGCTCTTTGCATCCCTCACCCTTTCGGACGGGGCTAGGACGAGGGTAAGTCCGTTCCACCGCGTGCCGGAACGCTCTCAGAGCGTTCCAGAACGCTCTGAGAAGACCGCGGCGCTCGAGACATCCTCCAGAGCCGCCGGATCTCAGAGATTCTCAATTTATCCTCACCCGATCTTCTTTTCTTTGTCCTGGCTTCATCTTGTCCTTCTGCTCCTCCTCGTCATCCTCCTCGTCATCCTCCTCGTCACCCTCCTCGTCATCCTCCTCGTCCTCCTCGTCCTCCTCGTCATCGTCCTCGTCCTCCTTGCCTTATTCACGTCCTGTCCTCCTCCTCGTCCTCCTCCTCGTCCTCCTCCCCTTATTCGAAAGCACGCCCGCTGGCCCTCCATTCGCTCCACCCCGCGCACATGCCCCGGGCCATGATGCGCCCCGCCCCCTTTCAGGAGGGGAAGATCACATACAGAGACTCAACGACTCGTCGATCCCCAGGGAAGTGTGGGGAGCTATGGGGAGCGGGGGGGGGGGGGACGACGACAATCAAGATGCTATGAGAAGATATAGGGTGCATCCTGGGATTCGCGTGTGTTTGTTTGTTTGTCCCTGGGCCCCGTCACTCTCTCGGGCACGGGCCCCCTCCTCTCGGCGCGCCCGCGCTTCGGCGCCGACGCCGTGGTGGACGCCCGGCGCGAGGCCAAGAGCCAGCTGAAGATCGTGGACCGTCGGGGGGGCGACCTCGAAGTGCGCGGGAGTAGCGCGCCGATGCGGCGGTGCAGCGACTCGCGCGCGCGGGCCTCGCGGGCCCGACCGAGCGAGCCGGGAGGCCGGGTCGGCTCGGAAGCTGGAGGCCTCCCGGGATGGGGTCGGAGCAGATGGGGTCGGAGCAGATGGGGTTGACAATGGGGGCGATCTAGAAGTGCGAGGTTCGAGTTGTTCGGCTCATCGGTTATCGTTGGTTCTCGGCCGCCTTCCAGCCGCGGGACGCTCCCCAGCCGCTGCGCCTCGTCGAGAGCTTCCCGGGGGGTGCCCGGATCGTCCCCGAGCGGCCGCCGGAGAGCCGAGTTTGAGGGCCCGAAGCCACCCGGGCATGCGTGTAGGCCTCTTGGATGATGTGGGAGCAGATGCCCGACTCGCTGTGGATCCCGACTCTCTGCACGCCGACGGCGCCACTGCGTCGGCGATGCGGCGCGAGCCTCCGCCCCCATCTGCAGTCAACCCGCATAATTAGTATGGATGAGACGCTTTCGCCCGCAGCCTTCCCCTTCGGCCCATGCCTGGCCTCTCTCGCTGGCCGCGCGCCGCTCGCAAAGTGTCGGCATGGCAACATTGCGCAAGTCCGATGCAAGCTCTCATGGAGCGTTATGGTTCGGGTCGGGCGAAAGGGGGGGATTGGGAAAGGGGGGGTTACGAAATTTGCTGCATGCAGCTGGTTTCGGCCTCACCGAGGGGCCCATTCCTCGATACATAGCCGCCTCCGGCGCCGGGAGGCGCCGGGAAAATCAGCTACGTGAGCTGATTCTCAAACCCCCCCTTTGCTATCCCCCCCTTTCGCCCGACCCGAATGGTGCACGGCAACAGAGAGTCACCAACGTAGCTGTGAGGAAAAATGACACCTGGCTGGCGCAGCAGATCGAGGCAGGCAAGCGGAGCAGGAATGGAAGAGGGCCCAAAGGCGCAGAGTATGCGCCACCCAGGCGGTCTGTGATAATGAGGGCACGAACAACCGAAATCCTTCGTAACATCCGCCGGTCGGAAGAAGAGGGAACGAACTGCATGTGCAACAGTAGCTAAGCGGAATGCTGCTGTGCCTGGTCACTGTATCCCGACACCCCTTTTTCTCTGTCCAGGCAAGCGGCGCCCAAGTTAAAACGTGGCATGAGCACATCGCAAGGCAGGCGACGCTAGACATCAGCTAAGCCTGGTGGTATCTTGATGTTCCCTCCAAGCCACACCCACCAAATCATACTCCCCAGACCTCCTTTGTTTAACCAGGCAAGCTGCGACGTGGCAACATGAGGAAGTGCAATGCGGGGGAAACAAATGTAGCATGCAGGCACGAGAGGAGACAGCAACTATATGCACAGCGTGTGACAATTCTTGTGCTGCTACCCCGGGTTTTTCGGTTGACCCCTGCTCTCAAAGGGCCGCGGGACCGTTGTGTTTTTGTGCTTTTTTGTAGGGTTTAGCACGAACATTTGTTACATTAGGCTGGCGCAGTGCAGCTTCGCTGGCCTGTAGCAGTCGGGCGGGGCCTCTCCCTGCATCCAGGGGGGCCTGAGATATATAATGCACAGGACGAAAGTACGTAGCTGAAGCGGCGTAAGGCTGAGCACAGAGAGAGAGAGAGGGAGAGGAGGGGGGAGAACAAGAGAGAGAGAGAGAGAGTGGCTGCCCTGTTGGCGATCGAATTCGCTGCAGCTGGGCAGAAGTGAGAGAGACTGTAGGTAACATGCGAAGCTCGCAAAGACGATGGCCGACTGCGTTGCGAAAAGTACTCGTGCAATCTGCTGGCTGAAAATAACTTGTTTGAGCAAACTGGTAAGTATTCGGTCCATCTGAGTAGCGTGGCTGGCACAAAGCACTGGCTGGCCATGGTAAAGACTTTCCCGGAGTGGCCCATCGCGTGGGCAAGTATGGTCCCCTCCACCTCCACCACTCCGCCACCGCCAAACCCGCAACCCATTCAACTCCAGAGACAGGACAGCAAGCTGATTGAAAAATGGTGAAACATATGCAGTTTCACGTACGGGGCCACACCCTGTAACATGGGCCTACAATTCATTGTGTGACTTGGGAGGCCCGAGTAGACATGATGTGCATGCTGGAATACAGCAGCAGGTCGCCCAGCCGTCCCTCTACATAACCCGCCCCCGCCCCCTAATGGTCGAACTCACCCGCCTGCTCCCCATCAATATCACGCTGCTGGGCCAGCGCTGCCTGGCGCTGCCTGGCCTGGAGACCTGCGCCGTACAAAAAAGGACTTGAAATGGAGGTCCGGATGAGGCGCAGTGCTGGTAGTGTTGGCTGTATCTAGGCAGAAGAGAGAACTTGTAGGTAACGTTCGCTGCCTGCGTAAAAAGTGTGATGGACTAGAGAGCTACTCGTGCATGTTGTTGGCTGACTGCGGATGATTGAGACAAATGAGGGCCTGACGTATAGAGGTGTCCAGCGCAAAGGCTGCTGGAGATAGAAGTGTACCTGTTGTGGCTCTTCAGCAGGCAGCAACGACGGGAAAAAAAACGTGGAGGGCAGGGCGGGGGACACCGAAAGGGACGAGCGCCAAAGCCGCATGTCTCTGCAAGGAAGTACAGGGCCTCGGCTTTCACCAACAATAAGTAAGGCACTTGCTCTGTGGGTGGAGGAGAACCCCACAGGGGCAAATTGAGGGGGAAAGGTGAGTGGAGAAGGAAAGACGAGCGACGGAGGATAGCAGGAGGAGCCTTGGCACTAACATACTCGTATATAGCAGCTACTTGGCTACAGAACTGATGTTCCATACAAGTTATTTCGTCGAGTCGACAAACAATACGTAGCATGGTCCGCTGATCGACGGAACATTATATTTTGTTCCCCCCAAAGGTTTGACGAAAAAACATGTTTGGGGTACGTAAATTCCTTGGTTTATCGCAGAAAGTCTTTACGCTTCGCGTATCCCCACCAGCCCATCTCACAGCAGCAACTCTTGCGAAACATGCCGGCAGTCGTGTTTTTCAGGCGTGTGTCCGCTTGGCCCCGCATATCTCCCCTGTTCCTCCTTCCTCCCGCCTCCTTGTACATCCTCCTTGTGGGGGGAGCGGGAGAAGGACGAGGCGGAGGAGGAGGGAGAGAAAGCGCTCCTCGTGATTTGAGTCGTTTGGGGTTTCTCGTCCTGGTGTGAGTCGTTCGGGCCCTTCTTCCTGGTGTGAGTCGTTCGGGCTCTTCGTGGTGTGAGTCGTTCGGGCTCTTCGTCCTGGTGTGAGTCGTTCGGGCTTCTCGTGGTGTGAGTTGTTCGGGCCCCTCATCCTGGTGTGAGTCGTTCGGGCCCCTCCTCCTGGTGTGACTCGTTCGGACTCCTCGTGGTGTGAGTCGTTCGGGGCCCCGTCGTGATGTGAGTCGTTCGGGCTCCTCGTGGTGTGAGTCGTTCGGGCGCCTCGTCCTGGTGTGAGTCGTTCGGGCCCCTCCTTGTGGTGTGAGTCGTTCGGGCTCTGCGTGGTGTGAGTCGTTCGGGCCCCTCGTCCTGGTGTGAGTCGTGCGGGCTCCTCGTGGGGCCTCTTGGGGGCCTCTTGGAGCCTCTTGGGGCCTCTTGGGGGCCTCTTGGGGGCCTCTTGGGGGACTCTTGGGGGCTTCTTGGGGCCTCTTGGGGCCTCTTGGGGGCCTCTTGGGGGCCTCTTGGGGGCCTCTTGGGGCCTCTTGGGGGCCTCTTGGGGGCCTCTTGGAGGCCTCTTGGGAGGCTCCTGGGGGCCTCTTGGGGCCTCTTGGGGCCTCTTGCGACCTCCTCTGAAGCGCGAAGGAGCGCTGCCCCCTGAGAAGGACAAAATGAGCCCAAAACCTTCGTAAAATCAATGCTTTTGCTATGAAGGAAGATGAGCGCGGCCCCCATCAGGAGGCCAAAATGATGCCAAAAACGTAGTAAAATCAATGATTTGGGCTTCAAAGAAGAGGAGAGGGGCCAAACTCGGCCCCCCCGTCGGGGCCACAATCCTCGTGAGGGTCGTCGTGTTTTGGCCCTCCCAGGAGTCGAAAAAGACCCCCCTGCCACCACTCGGGAGTCCCTCTCCAGGTCCAGGGGGAGGGGGTAGGGGGAGGGGTAAACCCCTCCCCGAAGGGGAAGAAGGGGGGTTGAGGACAGAGAGGGCTCTCTAAACCACTCACGCCCAAAGGGCTGGTGGGATTCAGAGCGGTCTCGAAATGTCCAGGCCAAACCCCGAGGACTGCCAGCGGCACCTGGGCCGCATGCGCCGCTTGGCAGCGGCTGGCCGGGACGAGTGGCAGGCCACCGTGGACGGGCTTCTCGCGGACCTCCTGCCCCACGTGCGCGTCGGGTCGCGGCGCGTGCCGCTGGAGGACTGTAAGGCTTGGTGCGATCGAGCAGGGCGTCGTCGAAAAACAAAAATGGCGCAAACATGAGCTCGTGACAGTCCGCGCGGATTTCTTGGATCTTCGCTGGGACCCTTTGGCGGCCCCTCCGGTGCCGCCCCTGGCGCACTCCGCGCGTCAGGGAAGGGGTCAAGCACAGCTCCAAGAAATCCGCGCGGACCGTCAAAACTTACTGTTTATGCAATGTTTTTCGTTCTTCGGTATCGGCGTCACCCAAATGTGCTAATGCCGTGTGCGCATCACCCTCCCAGGGGCAGCGCGCGCGACAAGAAATCGTGCAGTAGAAGCTCTGTGGCGGTTGCTTCCTGCACATGCCGCTCGGGAAACGATGTGCTACAAGGCGGTTGCTTCCAAGGAGGACACATCGTAAAAGTGTATAATTGTGCGTCCCAGGGGAAGGACAGAGTGGGTGCGAAGACCGACGGTAGTTTTTGGAGAGCCTTCTTTGTTTGATCTCCTGGCGATCACGGGCGTGACCAGGGGTGGAAGGGCAGGGCGAGGGAGGGGGCCGGTCACGTCACGATCCGCGCCGGCGCCGCCTGGGAATGCCTAGGACTGGTACATCCCCAAACGGCACCGGCGCGAATCTGGGCGTGACCAAGGGGGTGGGGAGGGGGGGAGGGCGTGGCTGGTCACGGGCATGATCGCAAATGATGCCAAACATTGTTTTTGCTAATTTTGAACATGGTTTGCTGTCGGCGTCGCTGCGGGCGTTGCTCATTCGAGACAGAAGGCCGCCTGCCCATCAGCAGCCGCTGTCGGGTCGGGAACGTAATTGTTGTTGGGCATCTTACAATGTTTTCGCTACCCATCTCGGGCGTCCGAAAAGGTGATCGACCTGATCGACCAGCCCGGCGCGTATTTCCCTTCTATTGACCCTGAGATCCAGGTGGCGCAATTTGTTCAGGGATTGACGTTCGATCTATACCCCTGCTGCCCCCTCTCTGGCTGCCTGTGCGGGCAGGGCGTTGATAAAAAGCTCGGCCCCCAGAGGCCAGATTTCTATCCATGCCCCGTCGTCGTCGTCGTCGTCCGTCGTCGTCGTTCGTCGTCGTCGTCGTCGTAGTCGTGGTGGTCGTCATCGTCGTCGTCATGCTCGTCATCGTCGCTTCTTTTTGATCTCGACGCAGGATTTTGCATGCCCGCGCTCCGTCCCCGCTGTCGTCGTCGTCGTCATCCGTCGTCGTCGTCGTCGTCGTCGTCGTCGTCGTAGTCGTAGTCGTAGTCGTTGTGCTCGTCGTCGTCCGGCTCGTCGTCGTCGTCGTCGGTTATTTGGGGTCACGACGCGCGATGTTGCAGGGTTTCGAGGCCAATCGGGCCCTCACGAACGGACCCGCCTCGAGAAAAGACCGCAGAGTGATGGTTTCCAGGGCTCTTCACCTAGCGTGTTCCCGCTATTCGCAAAGTGCCTATTCGCAAACAATGGGAAACATGCGGTTTTTCGATGGAATGAATTTTACATTCCCCGCGGCAGATCCAGGCAATTTGCGAGTATGTATTGTGCGAGTAGTGGCACGCGGTTGTCTAGCGAGCTCGCGTACGATGTCTCATTTTTTCACGACGTCGGATCTCAGGGGGAGAGGAAAAACTTGCACGCACATAAAATGTTGGAGCTCCGCGCGGATTTCTTGGATCGGCGTTGGGTTCCCCTGGCGGCGCTTGCGGCGCACGGGGCAAGCCCAGAATCCAAGACAAATGTGGAACCATCAACGGGAAACCAGACCCAACAATTGTTGGAACAGACCCAGCCAACCTTCGACACTCATACAAGCTTGAAAATTGAGGTCCAAATTATGAAAGAGGAATCCCAATCTCGAAAATTTGGCTGTGGCAAAGCCGGGATTGGCAAGCGCGTGCGTGCTTGGGGAGTGGGATTGGTTTGGAGTTGATTTCAGGATAAGTTGGTTATGGTGGAAACCGTAGGTCGTTCAATCGAAGAAGATGAGGAGTGGACGGCGGAGGAAGATGAGGAGTGATCATGGCTCCTCCTCTCCCGTCCTTTCTTTTCATTGCCTTTCCTCCTCCCTATCTATATGTGAGCGGGAGACAGCTAAGCTTCTCGAGGGGCTGCTGGAGGTCGAGCTGGCCATCGAGTGTCAGAGTTTTTGTTTTCTTCGTCCTCCTCCTCCTCCTCCTGTCCGTCGGTGCCCGCGTTGTCCGTTTCCCAATTTTCCGTTGTGTTTGGCCAGCGGTCACCCGTTGGCCGTGGCGGGAGGCTCAGGCTCAGGAGGCTCAGGCTCAGGAGGCGGCGCGCGAACGGCTCGCTCGCAGGTTCGAGAGATTTCTTCAGGTTGCATGGCGGAGCTTCTGAGGCATGTTCGACCTTGCCACCAGGGATCGGGAGGGGTCGTTCGTCGAGCCGCGGGCGAGCGGGGGGGCGGAAGGATGAACGACAGCAGGTGGGTGTTATATCCTGTCCGAATGTGGGTTTGCCACGCGCCTCGGCGCCAGCGGGCCAGTTCCCGCTTCTCTCGTCACCACCCACCAAACCACCCCAACCCAACCCGAAGGCTCAGATTTACCCTCGATTTCTAGTGGGGGGGGGTCGGGAAACATCGACAAAAACACGCGTGGAACCCTTACCCCCCCCAACCCGAAATTCGGGTCTTCGGGTTGGGTTGGGGTGGTCTGGTAGGTAGTCATCTCGGGGCCGCGGTCTGGGCTGGCGGCTGTAGCGGCTCCAGAGATGCGCTCGGTGACGAGGCTGCGTTAAGAACGAGCCTGCCGCGCGACTGTCCTATCGGCGCTGCGGCGGCGACATGGCTGCGCGCGGTTTGGCCCAGTTGCGGCGGAGTTGCCGGGCGCGGACTGATATTGGTCGGCATATTTTCAGGAGAGGAAAGAACACACAGACACAATTAATCCTCGATTCCCAAGAAAATATGGGAAAATATGGGAAGTGGGCGGGGAGACAGAAACCCAGAAAATATGGGAAAATATGGTGAATACTTTTATTTGTGTGTATTTATTTGTGTGTCCTGGGGCCCCTTCATATTTGCTTGTCTCCAGATATCGAAGCAGCCCGAGTGACAATGGTCACTTGCTGCGGTCGTCGAGTGGGGCGCCCATCGTGTGCCGGGGTTCCGTTCTCGCGCCGTGGCGCGTTGAGCCAGATCCCAGCTCGCGGCGTCTTGTGGAGGCACTGGGGGCGGGGAAGTGGAGAGCAGCGCAGTGCCTTTGTTCTGCCCTGTACCTTTTCCAGAACCATTCGGACACCATGTCCTTCGCATATTGCGACATGCAAGTCTCGCGCGCCCGCGCAAGTTCCCGTTTCTCGACTTGTCGCTGCTTCGCCCAGGGACCTTTGCCATCCGCGCATGGTTCAGGGCCTGCTTCTTCGCTTGCCAGTCGCGCGTTTGCTTCGCCGCGTTGCCGTTCAGGCTCGCGTGCGAGGGCGGCGGGTGGCAGCGTTGCGATGAACGACTGGGGGCGTTCCAATGTCCTTCTGCCTCCTCGTTCCTCTTCCTCCCTCATCCAGCGTTCCAATGTCCCCCCTCGTTCCTCCTCCTCCTCTTCCTCTTCCTTCTTCCTCTTCAGCAGGCTAGGCGGCACTTTTTTGTTTCTTCCTGGGCTCGGCGGCGGGAGCGTTTCCGCCGCCCCCCAGGGCGCCCGGGTCAGGGGCAATCGCCCGCAGGCGGGCCTGGGCTTCAAGCCACGACGACCCTGTCAGACGTCTCGGAAGGAGGGGCCGCCCCCCTGCTCATCTCGCAGAGACCGACGCGGGCGGCGCGTGGCCGCTGGGCCCGCGCGGTGCCGGCGAGGCGCTGCCTGTCGGCACTGCGAAAGGCTTGGGCAGTGCCAGTCCTTGCGCCGCGGGAGTTTGCTTGCGCTGGGAGTCGGGCGCCGTTCCGGCGGCTGCGGCGCGGGATGTCAGCGCGGGGCCGCTGGGCCCCGTTCGTGGCTAAGTGTCTGAACGGCGGGCTAGCCTATTCGAGCCATACAGGCTCGCTTATGCGCTATTTGTTAGTTATCGTTCCTTCTGCGTTATTCCTTTGGATAAAAAAGGGTTTCGTTCCTTATTTATCGTTCCCTAGGTCAGGCCGATGACTGCATCTCAACGCTTATCTGAGCCCGGGCTTGTCCTGTCCAGCTGGCGCGGGCGGCGCCCGGGCACTCCCGCCCGCGCGCCGGAAGGGGCGTGGATCTCGCATCGCCCGCGAACGCGGCGACTCCGCGCGGCGACGAGATTGCGGCATTGCCACGCGTCATCCGCGCAGCCGCTTGTCTCAGCGCGAGTCACTGTGTCGCCCTCGCAGGATGCAGCGCGCCCCGCTCCGCCGCGAGCTCCCCGCTCTGCCCTGTTTGATCGCCCGCGGGGCGGGTCGGCGTGTTCTCGCGAGCGCGGCGACGGCAAGGCCCGGTCGACTCCGGCGGCGGTGGAGCGAGGAGCTAATGCATATAGTTGGGCGCGTGTTTGCATGAGGGCGCCCGCGCATGTAAATCCATTCAATAGTTATGCGAATCGACGCGCGCGTGTATATCGGGCGACGGGCGCACTGCATGCTGCCGCGTCGCCAGCGCAGCCGCTTGCTTTCACTTGCAATGCTGTTTCGCCTGTGCAGTCCCAGGAGTTCTGGCTCGTGTTTCGCCGGCTGTCCCGGCCATTTCCCCCGCGGAGCCGCGGTGCCATTCTGGGGCGGCGGGCGCCCCGCGCGACGCGAAGCAGATGGGGCTCGCGGCCAGTCGGTCGGGCGACGCCGATTTCTCGCGTCGGGGCTGCGGCCGACTTGTTGGAAGTGGTTGCGTTGGACAGGAATGTCACCCGGCGTGGCGCTGCACTTCGCGCGCGCGCCACGCGGCGCAAATTTGGGGCGGGCAGAGGGTTCGGGGGGCTTGGCTGCGCCGTTGCTTCGGGTCGTGGTTTTGAGCTCCAAGTGCTTGCGCGCGCGCCTTTGTCGCAGCTGGGCGAGGCTGGGTGGGGGAGCCGGCCAGTTCGGCGTCGAGGGCGGCGCTGGAGGCCAGGCCGCTCGCCCCTCGCGCCCCCGCCCCCCTCTCTTTTCGATGCCCTTCTGGCCCGTCTCAATCTCCATCTGCATCGCCCTTCGCGGCTCAGCCCGCGCGTCGTCGCTGCCGACCGCCGTCGAGATCGCGGGCGCCGTGGCCCTCCATGGAAATCGCCGCCCAAGCGTCGGGCGCCGGCGTCGCGGTCGGGCCAAGGGCGACGCAGTGCTTCGAGATGATCACGAGGGGCCGCCCTCGACTCTACGAGAAGGGCGACGCAGCCCGGGCCCAGATGGCGATCGCCCAGGCGGCTTCCGAGCTGGCGACAATGCGCCACATCGCCATGCGCGCCCACCACGTGATGTGGACGCAGGAGATGGCAGATGTGCGGACGCTGTCGTGCTCGAGCTGGGCACTCGGATTTGGCGCGGCAGTGCGCGCGGTCTGTCCGCGCAAGACCCCCTGCCCGCGCCGTGCCGCTCCTAGACTGCTATATATCGCCTTTTCCTCTTCCCGCCCCGTCGATTGACGCGCCCCGCCGCTGCGTCGCCCCCCGCCCAGTTAGCGCCTGGCTGATTTTTTATCTCGGGCGGCAAGAGTCAGGAGGGGAAAAAACACACAGACACAATTAATCGTCCACTCCCAGAAAATATGGGAAAATATGGGAAGTGGGGGGGAAGACAAAAACCCAGAACATATGGGAAACATATGGGAATCTTTCTATTTGTGTGTATTTATTTGTGTGTCCCAGGGCTCCTTCAAAGAGTTGCTCTCGGGAGGTCGCCGCGGGCGAGCACGCTCGGCGGGCCGCGGGCCACAGGCGATATTTCTCTTTCAACTCTCCGTCGCCGCCGCCCCGCGCCGTCTCCGCGCCCCGTCGTTTTTTTCCGCGCGGGGGCGCGGGCAGAATGTCCCCCCGCCCCTTATTTGTCGTGTTTGCTCCTCCTTTTAAATGTTTTTTTTTTTTTTTTTTTTTTTACAAAAAAAAAAAAAACATGATTTTATTACTTTTATTATTTGTATTTTGTTTCCTTTTGTTTGTTCGCCCCGCCTCAAGTTTGTCTCGTTCGTTGCCCTTGCTCTCGCCGCCCTCTCTCCGCCGCCGAGCGGGGCGCGACGGATTCCGCGCCCGCGCGCGCGCGCCCGCAGAGCCGCGATACTTCCAGTCCCGCGCGCGCGCATCAACAGGCGGGCCCGCGCAGCTTATCTCGGGCCGCGCTGGGACATGCTCGCCAGATCGAGCTCCTTCAGACCGAACTCTTCGGAGCACTGGCGCCCAGTTGCCTCTGCCCCCGCAGCTTCGGGCCGACGCGGCCCCGGGGCGCCGGCCGCCAGTTGAAGGCAGATGGCGCGGGCGAGTCTCGCGCAGATCGCGCAGAGCTGGCGCGCGACCGCATCGAACTTTCAACGCGCGTCAACGTAGCATTTCAAATCGCCGCGTTAGTTTGCCGATTTTTATTCTTATATATATATATATATATATATATATATATATATATATATAAAGGCGCGAGGCCGCCTGGCTGAAGCCATCCTTGCACTGGCGAGCCGACGCAGCCCAGAGCGCCAGCCGCGCGGGGCCCTCTTGCCTCGCCCCCGCCCGCGCACATCCAACCGACCTGCTCTTGGCAGGGCTCGCGCGCGACAACGGCGCTGACACCTGATCGGTTCACCCCCCTCCTCGCCCTCGCTGCACGTCCGCCTCCTCGTCGCGCCTCGGCGCCATCGCCCTTGCCACCCCCCCCTTCCCGCTGAGCCTCCGCCCCGCGCGTCTCCTCTCAGCCCCCCGCCAGTTTCTCCGCCCCCTTTCCGACTTCCCTTCGCCCCCCCGCCCAGGGGCCGCAGGCGCCGGCCAGCAGGTTGAATTCTCAATTCCTTGTTTCATTCGTTTTGCTTGTCGCGGCCTCCGGCGACGTCGAGCCGACGCCGCCCAGGGGCGCCGGCCAACGGGTTGCGGCACATCTTTAAGGATGCGCTCTGTCGGAGGCATCCACAGCGATTGCGTCTTGCGCGCCAGATCCGAGTCTTAGACAAGATCTCGTTTCGCTTGAGCCACCGTTCCCAAGTCGAGCCGACGTTGCCCTGAACACAAGCTTCCAGGTCGAAGGTTTTTTGCTTTGCCGCGCCTTGTGTCCTTCGCGAGGCCCGCGCGGATTCGTTTGCAGATGCCCCTGTTTTGTTCAGCCCGCCTCGCCCTTGCTCTCGCTTCTGGCTTCTTCCTCTCCCGGGCGTCCTCGCCGTGCTCTGCGCCCTTCCCGCTGGGCCTCAGCTTCCAGATCTCTCTCAGCGTGTTTCTGGTTCGCGTTCCGCTCCCTGCCGTCGTGACCTTCCGCCGCCACTCGGGAAGTAGTAGGAGTGCGAGGCGCCAGGTTTAACCCGCGCTGCGTTGCGGCAGTCGCCTCTCCAGGATTGGCCGCGGGATCTGGGATTTTGGACTTGGGGCCCGGGGTTTCGCGTTTCGCGTTTGGGTTTTAGGGCGAAGCCCGCTGGGCGCATCCCAACTCGCCCGCGACCCATGACGGAGAATTCAGCGCGTCGACGATGACGGCGATGCTCTTGCCAAGAAGACAAAACGACGCATCGCCGATGCATCGGCGTAGCGTCCGGTCCCAGGTCGTTCCTTCGGAATTGAGTTCCCGCGCCGAGGCTGCCAAAGTTTCGCCGGAACCCAGGGGGCCACTGTCCAGCCTCCGCGCGGCGGCCCCTGGGGAAGGGCATGGGCGCCGCTCTTGACCCGCAAGGGTCGAGGTCGCGCCCGTGCCCTTCGCGGAAGACACTCTGAGCGAACACTTGCGCGAGAGACGCATCGCGAGCGCATCTGCCCAGGGCGCGCGCGGGCGGGGAACCCGTGCGCCGCGCGTCGAGCGGCGGCGCCGCGAGCCCCGGGGCCCCCCCAGAAGCCTCCAAGAGTTCGCCGACGCGGGGGGCGAGCCTTGGAGCGCCCGGGGCGCCTCGGGAGGCCTGGAGCTGGCGTGGCAGCGACTGGGCCGCGCCTGGGAGCGCTTGGGGGACGCATGGGGGTCGTCTGGGAAACTTGGGGAACGCCTGGGAGCGCCTCCGAGAGTCCACGCGCTCTGGAACGCCGATCTTCTAGGGAAGCTTGGAGCTGCTGCGGCAGTTCCCGGGCCGCGCCCTGGAAGCACGTGGGGGGGGCGCCGTGGAAGCGCCTGGGCAGCACCTGGGAGCCGCCCGGGAGCGCCGCGGGCACAAACGCGCGCCTGCACGCACGGGATTGTATTGGAGAGGCCTGACGGCCGGTGCCGCCGACCCTGATCGAAAGGGCTAGGAGTGGGGGGAGGAAGCGGAGGATGAGGAGGAGGAGGAGAAGGAGGAGGAGCAGGAGGAGGAGGAGGAGGAGAAGGAGGAGGAGGAGGAGGAGATCGGATTGTTTTGACATTGGTCGCTCGGCGGTGCATTTTTGCTTTGCTTTGTCAGTTCCAAGGGATTTGGGCCGTATGGGCAGAGCACTGCTTTTTCAACAAAGGATAATGGGGGCGGATATATGGAGCGGTCGAAGGGGCGGCATAAAAAGGGGTCTGCCGTATTATTGTTTGGTATTATTATTACTATTATGATGTGTATATATATATGTATATAAATGAATAAGTGCATATATAGACATATGTGTATATATATATGTATGTACATATATATATATTATATATATATATATGTGGTCGCCCCCCCCCCCCCCAGCACCCCCAAACCACCAAAACCACAAAATCTTCACTGATCGTTTCTCCTCGTCGCTCTCCTCCTCAAACCACAAAATCTTCACTGATCGTTTCTCCTCGTCGCTCTCCTCCTCCTCCTCCTCCTCCTCCTCCTCCCCCTCCTTCTCCTCCCCTCCTCCTCCTCCTCCTCCTCCTCCTCCTCCTCCTCCTTCCCTGCGTCTCCCAAGCCAAGGAAACCTAAAATGCATTGTGTATGGCGCCGTCGGTGCAAGGAAATGCTGTGTATGTTTGGTTTTGTTGGTTTTTTTTTGTCTGAGAAGCAAGGAAACGCTGTGTAATTTTGTTTTTTTTGTTGTTTTGGTTTTGCAAGCCCGAATGCCCGCGCTGGCCTCCCTCTCAGCACCCTTCCATGCGCCTCAGACCAAGACAACCAAAATTACACAGTGTTTGTCGCCCTCGGTGCAAGGACACGCTGTGTATTTTGGGTTTGAGAATCAAGGAAACCTTGTGTATTTTTGGTTATTTTTATTTTTTCGGGTTTTGCAAGCCCCTTTCCTTTCCTCTTCCTTGTTGCAAAACAAGAAACCAAACATACACAGTGTTTGGCGCCCTCGGTGCAAGGAAACGCTGTTTTTTTTTGGTTTGAGAATCAAGGACACCTTGTGTAGTTTGTTTTTTGTTTTTTTGTTTGGTATTGGACGCCCCGACGCTCTCACCAGCCTCCCTCCCAGCACCCTTAGAGCTTGCAAAACCCAAAAAAAAACACAAGGTTTCATTGATTCTCACACCAAAAAAACAACAAAACAACCAAAAATACACAGCGTTTCCTTGCACCGAGGGCGACACACACTGTGTATGTTTGGTTGTCTTGGTCTGAGGCGCATGGAAGGGTGCTGAGAGGGAGGCCAGCGCGGGCATTCGGGCTTGCAAAACCAAAAAAAAAACACAAAACACACACAAATACACAGCGTGTCCTTTGCTTCTCAGACAAAAAAAAACAAAAAAAACAAAAATACACAGCATTTCCTTGCACCGACGGCGCCATACACAGTGCATTTTAGGTTTCCTTGGCTTGGGAGACGCAGGGAGGAGGAGGAGGAGGAGGAGGAGGAGGAGGAGGAGGAGGAGGGGGAGGAGAGGAGGAGGAGGAGGAGGAGGAGGAGGAGGAGGAGGAGGAGGAGAGCGACGAGGAGAAACGATCAGTGAAGATTTTGTGGTTTGAGGAGGAGAGCGACGAGGAGAAACGATCAGTGAAGATTTTGTGGTTTTGGTGGTTTGGGGGTGCTGGGGGGGGGGGGCAAGTATACATATATATATATATATATATATATATATATATATCGGTTCTTAGTTTTAAGGGCGGTGGCCTCCGAGCTGATCGGTTTTGGCTTCGGGCCTCGGGGTTAGGGCTCAGGGCTTAGGTTTGCGGGCTCACGGCCCAGGGATTTCGGAATGGGGGACGGGCGTTGGGAAGAGCAACGGCTGGAAATTCAGGGCGGAGGGTTTAGGATTTCGGTGATGGACATAGAGCGTATGGTTCGTTTTGGATGTGTTTTGACGGTGTGTCTGCTTGTTGGGTTGGGGGTTCGGTTTTTTGACATTATCGGTGTGTGGTTCGGGGATGTTGGAAGAAGGGGGGTTTCTGAGTTTGCTATGCCGGCTGCTGGGTGTGACTTTCGAGTTTTTGATGTTTGATTGATGGATTTCTGGGCCTGAGCGAACAATGGTGGGCTTGCCCTTTCCAGGCTTCTTTATGCTTTCACTTATGGGATGTCTTGGTTTGCCTTCGGTGCCGCCCCGGGGGGGTCCGCGCGACAGGGGAAAGAGTCGGGGGAGCGTAAGACCCGGGTTTGCCAGGACTCGGGTTCGCCATCGTTTTTTGACGACCGCGACTCGGATTTTGACGAGGAGGAGTTTTGTGGGATGTCTGCAGCGGGAGGCCTCGTCAACATGCAGGCTCGGCCTCGTCATTTTTTGACGACCTCGTCGGGGATTTCCGAGTCCCCCGTACCCGGGTCTTACGTCTCCCCGAAAGAGGTCCAGTGCCGATCCAGGAATTCCGCGCGGAGCTCCGAACATGTATGTACGGGCAGTTGTTTTTTTCCGTCTCCTGCCCTATCCACACGGACATCGAGTGGGACACGTACTTGTCGGACGGCTTCCAGGTGTGGTACCTCGTCCACAATGAGGATTGGCGGCGTGCGGGGGGGGGGGCGGAGCGAGGGGGAGCACGTTTGTCAGAAGGCGGCGGGCCTTCACAGCACCCTCTCAGAGGTCTTCCGTTTTCAAGAGCGAAAGTAGGGCGTACACGTACACGAGGCCATGCTGTTTTCGAAAGCGCGCGTTGCGCGAACATTCGTAAGTTGAGGCTGGTTTCGCAGACTGGGGTGCCGTATTCGTGTATGCGGCTCCGGAGGGGGGGAGAGGAAGAAGGGTAGGAGGAGGAGGAGCAGGAGCAGGAGGAGGAGCAGGAGGAGCAGGAGGAGCAGGAGGGGGAAGCGGAAGAGGGGGAGGAGGAGGAGGAGGAGGAGGAGGAGGAGGAGGAGGAGGAGCAGGAGGAAGAGGAGAGGAAGAGGAGGAGAAGAGAAGAGGAGGAGAGGAGGAGGGAGGAGGAAAGAGGGGAGGAGGAGGAGTAGGAGGAGGAGTAGGAGGCGGAGGAGGAGGGGGAAGCGGAGGAGGAGGAGGATGAGGAAGAACAAGAAGAAGCAGAGGAGGAGGAGGAGGAGGAGGAAGAGGAGGGGGAGGCGGAAGAGGAGGAGGAAGAGGAGGAATAACAAGAAGAAGCAGAGGAGGAGGAGGAGGAGGAGGAGGCGGAGGGGTAGGAGGAGGAGGAACGCGTACGTCCTTCGTGGGTTCCCTATCTGTGCTTCGGGGAGGCCTGTGCCTTTCGGGAGGCCCGCACCGTCTGCCCTTCCCCCCCCCTCCGGGCGCGCCGCCCAGAGGAGCCTGGGAACCGGGGCAACATGTTCGTCTTCGAGACGGACCGGGTTCCCTCCCGGGCGCCCGAAGTTCTGGGCCTCCTGGACGGGGTCGGAGTACACCTTAGGCGATGCTTAAGAAAACTTAAATTTTCGGCCAGAGTCTCGATTATTCTTAATGTTTCAATGTAAATCCTAAGATTTGAATGGAAACTTTAGGTTTTTATTCAAGTTCTGAGACTATGAATTTCTTAACCCATGATTTCTTAAGCATTTCGCAGGGTGTACAGTCGAGGCGCTGAAGAAGGAATCCTTTTCGTTGGGGAGGGGCTCGGTGTTCCTCGACTGTTTCGCAGCTTGCCTCAGGTTTTCCTCATGTTTTCGATGGGAGATCGAAGTTTAACTTGTGGAAAAAAGGGGCCTCGTTCCTTATTTAGGGTTCCTTAGGTCAGCGCTCCGACTGTAGGTGGGGTCGGAGGATCGCGCCGCATCGCCGATGTATCGGCGCTGCGGCGAGATCTCCCGACCCCATCTACTCCGACCCCATTTTGGGAGGCCTCTTGACAGTGGGCGGGTGGTAATGGGGTGTGACCTAGATGGGGGTTCAGGTTCAGATGCAGCTTGCGTGCCAGCTCCGCGTGAGCGGTCCCCTGAAGGGCAGGCGGTGCTCAAAGCTACACGCTACAGATGCAGAGTACATAATAGTTACATAATGCTGCGTGCACTACTTCGGTAGCAAATCATGGGCGTCTTTAGTACCCTCTTAATTCCGTCTTTACCGTCCACTAGCGTCGATGAGCGTGTGGGAGTCGATGAGATAGCATCGATGTAGTGTTGGTTAGTCGGTTAGCGTCGACTAGCGTCGACTTAGCATCGATTTAGCGTCGATGAGCATCGAGCAACGTAGATTCGCAAGAGCCGACAAGACGGTATGGGAGGCTCCAGGGGTTCTACCGGAACAGCCCAATCGGGGGTGGGGACAAAGTCCCTAATATTGTAGGTCACCCTCCATTACCACCCGCCCGACGATACGGGTACGGAAAAATTGAGTACGATGCCCAACAGCAAGAGTTGTCCAAAACCGACAGCGGTCGTTGATGGTCAGGCGGCCTTCTGTCTCAAGTAGGCAACGCCCGCAACGACGTCGACAGCGAGTTTTTTTCAACCAGACAGGTTGCTCGCCCGCCCTGCATACCGCGGCCGCCAGATCCCCAGGCTCCCAATAATCCCGAGTGGTCCCGCCCCGCCCCCGCCTTGCATACCGTGGCCGCCAGATCCCCAGGCTCCCGATAATCCCTGGTGGTCCCGCCCCATCCCCGCCCTGCATACCGCGGCCGCCAGATCCCCAGGCTCCCGATAATCCCTGGTGGTCCCGCTCCCCACGCCGACTCGCCCACGCGGCATACTGCTGCCGCCAGATCCCCAGGTTCCCGATAATCTCTGAGGGTCCCGCCCCCCGCGCTGGCTCGCCCACTCTGCATACCGCGGCCGCCAGATCCTCAGGCCCCCCACAGAACAGAGCATAACACCAAACCACCGAACAGAGCAGATCCGAGCATTACATAACATAGCATGACAGACCGTATCGTAACAAAACATACCATGACAGAGCAGTGCATACCATGGCACAGCAGCACAGCATATACAATTCCATACCATGACACATCTAGCATACAGTACTAAACCAACGCATAGTTGAACATGCCAAGACATAAAGTTTCACACCATAATGCCATGGCATATCATTTCATAGCACAGCAACACGTAACAGCGCAGGATGTGGCAGATCGGAGCATTCATACCTTAGTGGGCCCTGGAAACGACAGGGCCGTTTTTGTTACTGGTTCCGTTCTGCCGTTTTTTTGCCGTTTCCGACTCCGTGTTTTCACCGGTTCCGTCGCCGTTGTTTGACTGGTTCCGGCTCCGGTTCCAATCCTGGAGCCGTTTTTTTGCCGTTTCCGGTCGCCGTTTGTTTGCCGTTTCTATTTTCAAGGGGCATTTTTTGGGAAACGATTTAAAAAAACGGCCCTGCCGTTTCCAGGGCCCACAAAGATTCATACCACAGCAAAACAGAGCATACCATCAAATGGCATGATGGAGCATCACAACATACACCATGGCAGAACAAACCACAACAAAACACAGCGTCGCAGCACATATCATGACATAACATGGCAAATCATAACATGACAGAGCGCGGCTTAAGATACTATACCAGAGCAACACGGAGCATAGCAAAGCACCATACGCTATGACAGCATTAGTCACACAGAGCATAACATAAAGCCACATCTCACAACACAACGTAAGCGCGCCCGTGCGGACTCAACGCCCACTCTGCAAAGCCAACACAAGCTACCACCCGCACCACACCCCCGTGCCGACTTGCCCACTCTGCCCGCCGAGCCCCGCGCACATCCTTCCCGTGAGCGCGCACACCTTCGGGACCAATCGCCGAAGGTTTCGTCTGGGAGCGCTCGAAGCAAAAACAATGTTTGTCTACCTGGCTCGGAGTTTCTTTCAGTCGTCATCTATCGTATCGATCGTACCGAGATTCCACCCCATCCCATCGTTCGTATCGGTCAGGTCGATCGAATACACGGGCCAGGTCGGTCACATTGGTCGATCGCCTCGGTCAGATCCACCGGGTCGACCACGTCGACTGCACAGGAACAGTTTCCCCTGCCCGCTGCGATCCGACCGAGGTGCCGACGTCCAGCTCCTCGACGCTGCGGCTGGAGGGGGACCGCCTCGAGCAGGTGCTCACCACCCACCGAACCACCCCAACCGAACCCGAAGGCTCAGATTTACCCTCGATTTCCAGTGGGGGGGGGGGTCGGGAAACATAGAAAAAACACATGTGGAGCCCTTACCCCCCCCCAACCCGAAATTCGGGTCTTCGAGTTGGTTTGGGGTGGTCTGGTAGGAAGTCAGGTACTCCCCTCCGCCGGCCCGCGCGGCCCCGCCGCGCCGGTGGACGCGTCCGAGCTGCGCGCCCGGTACCTGGACATCCGGAGGCGAGGATCGGGGCGGTCGGCCCAGGGGACGGCATTATACGCATCCGCCCGGGAGCCTCGCCGAAGGCATGGACTATCGGCGCCCCTGCATGCATGTATCTGGACGCCCGAGATGGGTACGGAAGGAAGGGGTACAATGCCCAGCAGCAGTTCTTGTGCATGGTGAACCGGACTCGCTGTCCACGCCGCCGTGGTCTGTGTCACTTCGAGACAGAAGGCCGCCTGCCCAACAGCGGCCGCTGGTGGTTTGGGACAACATTTGTTGTTGGGCATTGTACCCATTTTTTCCGTACCCATTTCGGGCGTCCAAAATGTATTGTTCTCCCCTGGGCCATTCGCCCCCGTCGTCGCCCCCGAGACATGCGGCCCGGCGAGTGCCTCGTGATGTCGGCGGGGGCAAAAGGGGTGGGCAGCGCATCGGGTCACGAGGGGCTTCGAGGGGTTCGAGGTTTTCGGATGCTTGCGTTGGTTCGAGCGGGCTTTCCAGCCTCGGGGTGCGTTCCAGCGGCTTCGCCGAGGGCGCTCTGGGGGGGGGGCCCAGATCGTCCTGATCGGGCGCCGGAAAGCCGAGTGATGACCCGAAAGCCTTATGGGGTGATCGGCCAACCCTGAGACCCTGTTTTCACTTTCACAACGGGTGAGTTTGCCTCGATTCGGGCCACTGGGTCCACACGGATGGATCTGGCTCGAAATATGCGGCAGAAAGATGGGGCTCCAGGCTCCAGGGTCCAGTTGATTTTTTTTCAATACCGCGTTGTCTATGTTTCGCGACGTGGGATCTCCAGGAAACGGCGGGCGTGACATTCACACGGTCATTGGATTGGGAAGCCACGTCGGAGACAAGGGCCATGGAAGCCCATGGATACATGTTTTGGGGGGGGGGCAGATTCAGGGGGGTATGCATCTCAAGCAGTGCAGTGGCGAAGCGTCCCGGCTCGCCTATAGC